CCATCTCCTCCTCCTCCTCCTCCTCCTTTTCCTCCTTCTCGTTTTCCCTCTCCCTCTCCGTCCTCCTCCTCCTCTCCTCCCCCTCCTCCTCCTCCTCCCTCCTCCTCCTCCTCCTCCTCCTCCTCCTCATCGTCCTGTTCCCCCTCTGCCTCCGCCTCCTCCTCCTCCTCCTTCTCTTTCTCGTCCTGCATCCTCCTCCTCCTCCTCCTCCTCCTCCTCCTCCTCCTTCTCTTCCTCGAGCGGAACATGACCTAGAGGAAGCGCACGACGTGCGTCCCAGCGGCTACTGTTGGCCTCAGGAGCCCAAACATGACGACATTTACGAGAGGCCGATGACCCGCCTCGGATTCGAAAGTGAAATGCGGGCCCAATAAAGAGGGGGCTCCCGCCTGAGACTTCCTCGCAATTCACTCACAGACAAAGCTTCCGCCAGATACTTGCTCCATGCACAGGACTCAGGAGCCCAAAAGTGACGACAGTTACAGGAGGCCGATGACCCGCCTCGGATTCGAAAGTGAAATGCGGGCGCCATAGGGACGGGGCTCCCGCCTGAGACTTACTCGCAATTCACTCACCGACGAGTCTCCCGCCTGATACTTCCTCCATATTCAGGCCTCAGGAAACCAAAAATGACGACAGTTATGAGAAGCCGATGACCCGCCTCGGATTCGAACATTAGGCGCCGGCCCCATAAGGAGGGGGTTCCCGTCTGAGACTTCCTCGCAATTCGCTCACAGACGAGGCTCCCGCCTGAGACTTCCTCCGATGATGAGGACGATGGTGGTGGGTGATGGTGACGATGGTGATGGTGACGGTGGTGGCGGGTGATGGGTGATTATGGTGACGATGGTCATGGGTGATAGTGATGGTCTTCTCTCATAGACGAGGCTCCTGCCTGAGACCTCCTCAAGCTGAGTGTGGGTGTGTGAGTGAGCCGCACAGGATAAATGAGTGAGTGCGAGTGAGTGAGAGTGGCCGAGTGTGTGAGTGAGTGCGTGAGTGATGTTGTGTTGATGCTGCGATGGTGATGTGAGTATGTGTGCATGGGAAGAGATGGGGTGTTCCTTCCATCCTGTTCCTGCGCAGGGTGTCCAGAGAAATTTACTCCGACGGTAAGACCCCGCATGATAAGATGTTTAAACTGCCTGGGGATATCCTCCTGCCCCCTCCCCTCTCCCAACTACATACTTCTGCCTTCTCCTTCTCCTGCCGGCTCCACCTCCTGCCTCAACCCCTGCCTCCTCCTCTTATCTCCTCCACCATCTCCTCCTCCTCCTCCTCCTCCTCCTCCTTTTCCCTCTCCCTCACTCCTCCTCCTCCTCCTCCTCCTCCTCCTCCTCCTCCTCCTCCTCCTCCCTCCTCCTCCTCCTCCTCCTCCTCCTCTCCCTCACCCTCCTCCTCCTCCTCCTCCTCCTCCTCCCTCCTCCTCCTCCTCCTGTCATTGTCCTCCTCCTCCTCCTCCTCCTCCTCCTCCTCCTCCTCCCTCTCTCTCTTCTGCTCTTCTCCTTCTCCCTCCTACGCCTCCCCTCCTCGTCTCCATCTTCCGCCCCCTCCTCCTCCTCCTCCTCCTGCCTTTTTCTTTTGGCCTCCTGCCTCCTCCTGGGGCCTCCTGGGGCCTCATAAGGCTTTCCTCCTCCTCCTCCTCCTCCTCCTGTTCCCCTTCTGCCTCCTCCTCCTCCTCTTCCTCCTTCTCTTTCTCGTGCTGCATTCGCCTCCTCCTCCTCCTCCTCCTCCTTTTCCTCCTCCTCCTCCTGCTCCTCCTCCTCCTCCTCCTCCTCCTCCTCCTCCTCCCCATCCTCATCCTTCTCCTCTGCCTCCTCGCACGGAACACGACCTACAGGAAACCCACGACGTGCGTCCCAGCGGCTACGCGCCGGAAGACGACCCGGAGGAAGCGCGCGTCGGAGGACGACCCGGAAAAAACACATGAGGTGCGGGCCCCATAAGGAGGGGCTCACGCCTGAGACTTCCTCGCAATTCAATTACAGACGAGGCTCCCGTCAAATACTTCCACCATATTCAATCCTCAGGAGCCCGAAGGAGACGACCGTTACAAGAGGCCGATGACCCGCCTCGGATAAAAAACGTGAGCTGCGGGCCTCATAGTGGGGGGTTCCCGTCTGAAACTCCCTCGCAATTCACTCACAGACGAAGCTCCCGCCAGATACTTCTTCAATATTCAGGCCTCAGGAGCCCAAAAAAGACGACGGTTACACGAGGCCGATGATCCGTTCGGATTAAACGCATGAGCTGCGGGCCCCATAGGGACGGGGCTCCCGCCTGACACTTTCTCGCAATTCACTCACCGACGAGTCTCCCGCCTGATACTTCCTCCATATACACGCCTCAACATTCCAAAAATAACAACAATTACAGGAGGCCGATGACCCGTCCGGATTCGAAGATGAAGCGCCGGCCCCAAAAGGAGGGGGTTCCCGCCTGAGACTTCCTCGCAATTCACTCACAGACGAGGCTCCCGCCTGATACTTCCTCCATATACAAGCCTCAGGAGCCCAAAAGTGTTGACAGTTACAAGAGGCCGATGACCCGCTCGACTTGAAAACATGAGCTGCGGGCCCCATAGAGAGGGGGCTCCCGCCTGAGACTTCCTCGCAATTCACTCACAAACGAGGCTCCCGCCTGATATTTCCTCCATCTTCAGACTCAAGAGCGCAAAAATGACGACAGTTACAGGAGGCCGATGACCCGCTGGGATTGAAGCATGCGCTGCGGGCCCCACAGGGAGGGGGCTTACGCCTGAGACTTCCTCGCCATTCACTCACAGACGAGGCCCCCGCCCGAGACGACACAATGGCGAGTGTTGATCATGATGGTGTGAATGATGATGACGATTGAGATGATGATGAAGCCAGTGAGTGAATGTGCGAAAGAAGAAAAAGCTGAACGTGTTATGATGATGTTGCGTGAATGATTGAGCGAGTGAACGTGCAAAGGCAGAAGAGGAGAGGGGGTGAGGTGACAGGACTGCGTGGGGTGCCCACAGAAAATGAATGAGAGTAGTCGCGTGAGTGCGAGTGATTGTGTAAGTAATGTTGCGTTGATGCTGCGATGATGATGTGAGTGTGTGTGTGTGAGAGAAGAGAGGGGGTGTTCCTTCCTTCCATCCTGTTCCTGCGCGGGGTGTCCGGAGAAGACAAAAAAAACACTTTGGATGTGGGGAACAAAAACCCACTTTTGGGGGTGTAGGGAAAAATCATTACGAAATTGTGGCGCGTTAAATCCTGGGCGGGGGGGGTGATCTGAACATTTTACTGGAAAAGATAATGCAATGGGGCGGGCGACGGACCGGGCGGCAACAAGCGCGGCGACCGACAGACAGGCCCAGACGACGGGCGGCGACGAGGCGGCGACGGGGCGGCGACGGCGGCTACACAGCCGCCAGACCGTCAGACAGGCCCAGCTCCTTGGAGCAGAAGTAAGAACCCCTTAGTGCAAGCACTGTTTGGGGAATACGGAGAATGAGCGACGATGAGGCCCCACATGCGATTTGCAATGTTCAAGGGAGTGGCAGCAAGTCTGGGGTGGAAAAAGTGGTAGAGTCTGTTCTTCATTTGATGAGAGAGTTACATCCGCACGCGACCACCTCTACTGCTCGCGCAAACATCTTACCCACCCACCCGCAATTTGCGGACAAATCTCAACCGGGCGACGACAACGACGATGGCTATGATGATGCTCATGACGGCGGTGGGGACTATGTGGACGACGACGGTGGCGATGGAGATGGAGATGAACCTCCTGGTGATGCCAATGATGATGTTGATGGTGGTGATGGTGATGGCGCATGAAGAGGATGACGAGGAAGTGCGCTGATGAATGGTGATGAGGATGATGATCAAGTGCGCGCGCAGAAACGATGATGATGATGATGACTTCGATGTTGATGGCGATGATGCGGCGGGCAGGGATTCACACATTCTGGCCTTGTTAAGATTGGCAAACCACCGGGCTTCCGTATGTGTTTGGACACCTCTAAATTAAAATGCTTAGACGGCCCATGTTTTGGAGGGATTTCAGAGTCCGCGCGAGCGCGGACGCGCGCACTTGACCAACGGTGTATTTTTTTGACAGAGCTAGTGGGCGAGCGACGGCTGTTGAACGTCGGCATGCGCGCGCGTCGCATGGTCTGCTTTGACAGATCGGCTACCAGCCTACGGCTTTCATGGCTGATTACAGCGAGTGCGCGCGCAGAAGTATGGCAACTACTTCTTGGAAGACAAGTGGCTTTCGAACATGTCCCAGTGACCATGTCTTGGAATTGTTCGGAAACGAACAGTTGTTGAATGAATTTGGCATGCGCGCGCGGTGGTGCGCGCATGTGCCCTGCATCGTGTATTTGGCACGGTGTTCTTATGCAAAAAACTTCTCGCACCAACGCATGTGCACCGCATGGTATCACTTGACAAAGATGAGGGGGTGGTCGATGTTGGTTGGCCAGGGAAGGTACTGTTCGTCGTGCGGTATATCTGTGAGTTAAAATACGCGCAAGGATGTCGTTCACCCTGGCCTCCGAGGGGGGTGCACATTGTTCTCAAGTGAGAAGAAGTTTAGGTGGTACAAGACTGCGCACGGTGCGGCCACGCGGCGGCAACGACTCGAAACCCTGGAAACGCCGCCCAACGCATGGCACGCGCCGCCCACGAGGCGTCCACAGGCGCCAACCGCAAGAGCCATGCACAGCCAGCGCACATGCCGCCCACGAGGCGCCCACAGGCGCCCAACCGCGCAAAAATCCAGGGAACCCAGCCGGCGCACGGGGAACGTGCCCCAATTCCTTCGCAGTCAAGCAAGAACTCCTTGGTGCAAGCGGTGCTTGCTAGGAAACTGCATCCTGCTCTCAAGCGGGATACGTGTTCTGGCCAGAAGTCAACGGCTGACCCAGCGTTGCCGACGAGGGCGCCGCAGGAGGGCCATAAGAAAACGAAACTCACCAGGATCCTCACCTCAATGAGGAGGAAGAGGGATCGAGATATCCCGTCCTGCACACTCCGAGGGTGGCGGCGGGCTCGACCTTGTGCACGTCCTGCCGGCACAAGGCGCACCGGTGGGGCTGCTCCTCGCTCAGCTGCTGCTCCTGGAGGCTGGCCCCCTGCAGCGCCTCCTGGAACTTCCTCTCCTCTGGAGTTAGGTCGGGCATGTCCCCCTGCAGGTGGTATTTGGAGGACGAATGAAAATAGCCAAAACATATTCAAACATGGTCAAACATCATAAAATAACACCGTGCTCATACTATGTGTTACAACTATTTTTAGACTCTCCCCCTGTAGAGGGACATGCCCGACTTAACTCTAGAGACGTACAAACGACGCCCCTAGGATGTGCCCCACCGGCCCTCAAGAGGCCTCCAAAGGCCCCCCCCACACGAGGTCCCAAGAGGCATCCTCGGGGCCTTCTGTCCACGACCCATGGCGGGACGGGCCGAAGCCCACCAGATACACAGGGAGGGCGGCCCGGACGAACTTTTCAAACTGGCGCTGGACCCCCCCTCTCCGCACCGCTGGGCGCCGCCTCCGGCGCCGCTGCCGCCGCCCGCCAGGGGGGGAGCACTGTGGGGAGGGGTGTCCAACGCCGATTGAAGCAACCGACGTCTGTTGGATCTCAGTCCTCCTCCGCCTTGGCCGCCTCCTTGGCCCTGCGCTTGGCGTCCTTCTTCGTCTGCTGCTCCGACTTTTCCCTCGCCTCTCGGAGTGCCGTAGCCCCTCCACACAACACTCACACAAGCATGCACACCCTGCGAAATGCTTGAGAAATCATGGGTTAAGAAACTCATAGTCTCAGAATCCGAATAAAAACCCATAATGTCTATCAAAAGTTTAGGGTTTATACTACAACATTAAGAATCATCGAGACTCTGGCTGAAAACGTAAATTTTCTTAAGCATCGCCTAGGGTGTAATCAACCGCGTACGCGAGTGCCGGTACGGTGGGTCGGTCGGCAGAGCAGAAGAACACAGGGACAAAAACGGAGGGCAAGCAAACACGCAGGGGACAAACAAAAAAAAAACGCGAGGGACGAGAGGAGATGAGAAAGGCGGCTCGAGGCGCGCCAGGCACGGAGCCGCAACACACGTACTCACTAAGCCGCCTTGGATCAGACGCCAGTGATTTCCGCCAGCGCGGTGTCGGGTAGGGCTTCGCATGAGCAATCAAAGCAAGACTCTCCCCCCTGAATCTCCGAAACTTCCAAGACACTTCTCGGCTTTCTCGGAGGCCTTCCCAAATGTACACCCCATCCTGGACTTCGGCACCCTCGTGGAGGAGAGCTCCCCGCATCCTGAGAAATGGCGAATTGTCTTGAAGGATGGGTGGGGTCCACCAGAAACGCTCGTCCTAAAGACAATTTCTCCCTCCCTTACTCCTCCCACCTTCCTACATCCATCCTCTTCTCTCCTGACCGCCCTCGCGGCCGACTGCAACCCAATGGGAACTGGAATCGCCATTGCTCTCTACCGGTCCTATACCCTGTAACGCCCCTCACAGGGATAGAAACCAATTGGGTGCAACTTACTCGTTGGAGCGTCATGCTGTCCCCTCCTCTTTTCGCGACTTTTCGCCAGAGGGCCCGAAGACGACCCCCGGAGGCCAAACGTAACGAAGAACGCTGGGGCTGAGAAAAGCACGCGACGCAGGTCTGGGGCCAAGGAGTCGGTGAAGGCGGCCAGAGACCCCTGGAGGTCCACCCATGCAGCTCCCGGAAAGCTCCAGAAGGCTCGCGGAAAGTCAAAGAAGTGCCAGGAGCATACGAAGAATTGATATACAGTCGAGGCGTTGACCTAAGGAACCCTAAATAAGGAACGAGGCCCCTTTTTCCCATCAGTTAAAGTTCGATTTCCCATCGAAAACCTAAGGAAAACCTAAGGCAAGCTGTGAAACAATCAAGGAACACGGAGCCCCTCCCCAACGAAAAGGGTTCCTTCTTCAGCGCCCCGACTGTACCTTGAGGGTCCGTCTGCGAACCGCGTCCCAAGAACTCCGACGCAGTGTCTGTTTCGCAGTGTCAGCTCCCCTGTGGTCGTGATGTCGTCCCGCCTACTCCCAAATCGCGATGTGTTACTTCTGCTGATGTGTCGAACCGCTTCACCTTCCTCTCCCTCAGATGTTCCTCCCGCGTCTACTTCCTGTCCCACTAATCTGTCTTCTTGGCCTCGCTAACTTATTCCTCCTCCCTCCTCCTCCTCCTCCTAATTGTGCTCCTCCGCCTCCATCTCCTCTGCCTCCTAGTCCACAGTCTCCTCGTCCCTCTCCCCCTGCACCTTCTCCTCCTCCTCCTCCTCCTCCTCCTCCTCCTCCTCTTCCTCCCCCTCCTCCTCCTCCTCCTCCTCCTCCTCCTCCTCCTCCTCCTCCTCCTCCTCCCCCTTCCCTTTCTCTCTCTCCCTCTCATTTCCTCCCTCCCTCCCTCCGTCCCTCCATCCTCCTCCCCCTCCTCCTGTTACTGTTCCTCATCCTCCTTCTCCTCATCCTCCTCCGGTGCCTGCTGGTTATGCACCTCATCCCCTTTCTCCTTCTCCTATTCTTATCCTTGCTCTTATTGTTGTGATCTTTCTTCTTCCGGTTATGCACGGTATCTTGATCTTCGTCGTGGTCGTGGTCGTGGTCGTGGTCGTGGTCGTGGTCGTGGTCGTGGTCGTGGTCGTCGTCTCCTTGTGGTTCTTCTTCTTCTGCTGCTGCTTCTTCATTTCATTATTCTCATTCTTCTTCCTCCTGCTCCTCCTCCTCCTCCTCCTCCTCCTCCTCCTCCTCCCTTCCTCACTCCCGCGCGATGGACCATGTGACCTCCTGAGGCCTTCTGGGACTTCCAGGGGCATCCTGGAGCCCTCTGGGGCCTCTTGGAGCCTTCTGGGGGCCTCCTGGGGCCTCGTGGTGGCTCCTGCAGCCTGCTGGGGCTCCCTGGGGTTTCCTTGGACCTCCTGGGCCCTCCAGGAGTTTCCTGGGGTTGATTCGGGCATGTCCCTCTACAGGCAGATTGTCGACGAAAAAATATTCAAAAGATCACCAAAAACGGTCAAACAAGATTTTTTGTTATAAATGGTCCCCCGACTATTTCTTCAACGTATTTTTGAATACTCCTCCTGTAGAGGGACACGCCCGACCTGATCCTGGGGCCTGCTGGCGGCTCCTGAGGCCTCCTGGGGTCTCGCGGGGCGGTTTGGGTCCCACTGGTGCCTCCTGGGGTCTCCCGGGGTCTCCGTGGACCTCGCAGGGCCTCCTAGGGCCTCCTGGGCGGTCTCTGAGAAGCCCCGCGCGGGGCCTCAAAGCTGACGTCAGTTTCGAAGATGGGCGCGCGTCCGTTCGTAAAGGGGCGCGGCAATCGTCAAGCACATTACGACCGCATCGCGCTTGAGGCTCAAAGCCGTCCTGGGCATACCGCGGCGAGAAGCCCGGTCCCCCACGGTACGGTGCGACTTACCCTCTCCCCGACGTCGGGAGTTTCTTTTCCCAGCCATCCTGTGGTGTTGGGTCCTCGCTTTGAAGAGACAGCGCCCCGCGTTCTCCTCCCACCTCCTCCTTCCTCCCATCGGGGGTCTGCTAACCAGAGTCCATCAGGCCCGGGTCACCAGGAAATCAAACAACTGCAATGCAGGAGCAAAAAAGCTGCAATGCAGGGCTTCGCAAACCCGGGTCAGCTAATATGCGCAGCCGCCTCGTGGCCACGAGCGGCTCGCTAACCCGGATCAGCCAGAGGGGGTCTTCGCAGGATCATGCAGGATCCAGTGCCCTGGCTGACCCCCGTTTGCATTGACCCCCGTCTCAAGGCTCCCGTTTGCACTGACCCCCGTCTCGAGGAGGGGGAGGGGGAGGGGGAGGGGGAGGAGGAGGAGGAGGAAGAGGAGGAGGAGGAGGAGGAGGAGGAGGAGGAGGAGAAGGAGGAGGAGGAGGAGGAGGAGGAGGAGGAGAAGAGGAGGAGGAGGAGGAGGAGGAGGAGGAGAAAGAGGAGGAGGAGGAGGAGGAGGAGGAGGAGGAGGATCCAGTGCCCTGGCTGACCGCCGTCTCTTGAGCCCCGATCCCATCCCCGCCTCTGCCCTCCGCATGTCGGTGTTTTACGGCGCACGCAGTGCAGCACCTCCTGGCCCCGTCGGGAGCTCCGCAGGCCCCAGCGGCCAGGTCGACGTGGCGGTGCCGCCCCATTTGGCGCACCCCTCACACGGTTCGTGGCCCCATAGAGAGCTTCACCGAAGGCCCCAGCGGCGGGGTCCACATGGCGGCGCCGCCCCATTTTGGTGCACCCTCACGCGGTTCGTGGCCCCATAGGGAGCTCCACCGAAAGCGGCGCCACAACACGGTATTCACGACTGCACATGGTGGGCCCTTCGCCAGGATAATCCGGTTTTCGCTGATAAGAAACACTCCCCCCCCCCCCTTGCAACGGTGACAGAGGGCAGGCGGCGGGGGTCGGCGCTGGTTGGGCTAGATGGCTGACGGGTTAGGAGACAAGGTGGCTGGTTAGGGTGGTTGGCTGGCATGCGGGCTGGGTGGCTGTTGGGCTAGCTGGCTGTTGGGCTGGCTGGGTTGGCAGGTTGAGGTGGCAAGGGCAATTCGTTTCGATCTTGTTTTCGGCGGGCGCATCCAGACTCCGAGCCTTGAAGAAGAACCGGGATTGCGTTAAAAGGTGCCCTTGCAAGAAAGACGCGAAAGAACCCCCTTCCCAGACTTTTTGGCCGAAACGGCAAAACGCTCGCGGCGGTCATAGGGCGGGCTACGCAGTAGCAAACTGCAACTGCACAAGCGGACACCCTTTCCAGACCCCATGAGCCGTGAAACAACTGCGCAACAAAAAGCCACCGCATGGGCTCTCAACCACACCTGTGTGCAAGACCACTCGGCCCTGGATTGATCCGCGAAGGGCCAAAGGGGCCCAGGACGGCTCGAAAATGCCCACTGTGATGCCATCGCGACGTCCAGATGTCAAGGACCCTGCGACGACTCCACTGCCTCGAGCCGCGCGCCGCAAGAACACTCGACCCTCTTCCCTGGTGCCGGCAAGACATCCCGAACCTTTGTTTGACGGCACCAATGTACAGAAACGACTTCTAGACGCAAAACATGCGTATACGATTGGCCACGAGACGATGACGAACTTGGGGGTGGAACCCACGACTGGACAACCATCGGGACAACCGTCTCCATCCACGGAACAACCTCGGTCGGCCGATCGGTCTTTCGATCTCACATGCATGCACAAAGCGGTATATATATAAATATGTAGGTGAGTAAATACACATATGTTCTTATGATTAAATAGTGGGTTCCCCCCCAGGGGCCCTTCATCTTTTCCTACACCTCATCCTGGGCGTAAGCTTAACTGGTTTGCGTCGGCGGCCAAAGTTCGAACGCAGAAACGAAACGGATTGTCGCTGATTGTAACTGCCCGAGAGCACCACTTCCGAAAAGCATGGCGCACGCAAATAATTCCAATTATAGCATTTTCCTGTCGCCGAACCCTCGTTGATGCGGAAGGAAAAATGCAGGAAAATTGCTTTGCCAAGTCTCTCGCGCAGAACCCTCGCTGCTGCGGTAAAGGAGAGATACCGTGCAATATGTTTTCTAATGTGTCCGCGTTTTCCGCTTGCCGCAGCGAGCCATCGGAGATGCGGCAGAGGGAAAACGCCGCAAAACCACACCTCTCGGGGGAGATGTACACGGCGCGTGATATTACTTGACATCGACTCTTCAGAGCTAGGTTTCGCCCCCCAAAAATATGGGAAGCGACAAAACGAAAGCCGGTAGCGACAATGCGAACATTGGTAGCGACGACGCGAACATCAGTAGCCCTGTAGAGTTGGATTTCGTTCGCGCCAAACTCAACATCATATATACATATATATATGTATATATATATGTACTAGCTAGACAAATCAGCCCTTGACAAACCAAACAACGGCGCAAAACGCAAACAGTTCCAGCACATGCGCACCGAACGCACGCACGGCACGCACAAGGTTCTCCCAGTGTGGGAGGTCGTTTCACTTCGATCCTCCCAAGCCATATATATATATATATATATATACGCATGCATACACACGAACATGCATACATACATACATACATACATACATACATACGTACGTACGTACATACATACATACATACAGACAGACATACATACATACATACATTCACACATGCAGATTTACATACGCATGCATACATCCATACATACATACATACATACATACATACATACATACATACATACATCAACACATACACACATGCATGCACACACATACTTACACACATACATACATATATACATACATACATACATGCATGCATACATCCATACATACACATACACATCCATCCATCCATCCATCCATCCATCAATCCATCCATCCATTCATACATACAAACAAACATATTTACGTGTTTGCATGCACATACATACATACATACATACATGCATGCATGCATACATACATACGATACTGGAGACAAGCCCCAATCAGGGCTCTAGGGCTAGGGGGCTATAGGGCAATTGAGCTATAGGGCTATAGAGCTATAGGGCTATAGGGTCGTAGGGCTATAGGGCTATTGGGCTATAGGGCACCCCGGGGCACGCCCGGGCACCGGGGCACCCGGGCACCCCGGGGCACCCCCCGGGCACCCGGGCGTGCAGCGAAAATCGGCGGCCAACCTCACCCCCGGGCACCCCCGGGCACCCGGGCACCCGGGCGTGCGGCGAAACTCGGCGGCAAACCTAACCTGACCATACGAATCCGCTCGGACCCCTACAGAGGCAAGCTCTGCTTGGGGAACACACATCACCTTGGGGAAAAAGCTGCGCAGAGCGCAAGCAATTCCAGGACATGCGCAACCTGCTCCTGCTCCCGCGCCACAGCGGCTCTGCGCCCGCCGCCCCCCCCGGGTGCCCGCCGCCGAGGCGGGCGCCCCCCCCCCACCCCTGCGAGGGCGTGCGGCGGACGAGCCGACCGCGCAGGAGGCGCCCGGCCCCGCCCGGCCTTGCGCTCCGCTTCCTCGGCGGTCCTGCAGCGGACGTGGCGGGCGTGAGGGGAGGCTTGGCGGTGCACACAAGGGGGCGGGGGGAGGGGGAGGGCTTCGTCGAAGGAGGCTGCTCCTGAGAAGGCGCCGGCCTTTTATCTACAGAGGAGGCCCGCGCCTTCTAAGAAGCAGGGGTGCTTCTGAGAAGCCCTCCCCCCTCCCCCCATCCCCCCTCTGCGCGCGGCTGTGAGGCGGGGGGGAGGGCCGCGGGGCGGTGGACGGTGGGCCAGCAGACTCGGGGATGGACAGACCCCCATTTAGTAAAACGTGGTTTAATGAAAACGACGTGAGGCCCAAACCTGGCGGGCGCAAGCCTGGAAAATAACGGCCACGGCGCCCTCTCGAGAGCCAAAAAAGACACTTCACTAATCGACGTGTCACTGTTGGGGGTTCTGTCCACCCCCGACAGACAGCGGCGGCAGGGGAGGGGGGTGGGCGCGGGGCGGGAGGCGGGCAGGGTTCGCTCGACTTCGTATCTCCGAAGCTCTTCTTCGGTGCTGCCTGCGCTCGTTGCACTTTGCCGCGGTGGGGCCGTCGTCGTCACCGCCGCCGCCGCCGTCGCAGGGTCCAGCTTCAGGTCGGGCAGGTCCTCTTGCAGGTGGATTGTGGCAGAAAGAATTCAACGCTGTCGACAAATACTCAAAAGTAGTCAGAGAGATCACGGGCCATCGTCAGCGCACGATTCCCTCACGATCCTTGCGCGCTCCTCCCGTAGAGGGGCATGCCCGACTTGAGTCAAGCTGTGGCCATACGGCACGCCCAGCAGGGAGCGAGGCTTCTGCTGGGGGGCCCCCCAGGGGCACCTGAGATGCACGAGGAGCGCCAGAGGGAACACCACGGCAGGACCCGCGGGGCAGCGAGGCCCCTGCCGAACGCGAGCGCCCCCACCCCCGCAGCAGCGCCTGGGCCGCAGGGCGCCGAGCTTCGAGCGCGGCCCTCGCCGAGCCTCGAGCAGCCCGCGGGTGCTCCTCGGGGGGCCCCTCGGAGGCTCCGCGGATGCCCCCCGGGAGGGCGCCCAGACCTTGCAGCCCGAGGCTACCGACGGCGTCGGGGTCTTCAATCCGTGGGACTCCCGCTGCTGACCTCGCGGACCCCTAGAATCCCAGGGTGCCCTGGTAGGGTATAAGCAGCTCCCTGGTGCGTGCCGGACAGTTTTTCATGACAGTGTATCGTGCTCGTGACCAATGCTCCTTGGCTCCGTGATACGTAGAGGAGGAGGAGGAGGAGGAGGAGGAGGAGGAGGAGGAGGAGGGAGGAGGAGGAAGGAGGGAGGAGCAGGAGGAGGAGGAGCAGGAGGAGGAGGAGGAGGCGTCTCGGCCAGAACACAGCAGCCCAACCACCTGCCACCCGAGTAAAGGAGTCGCGCAGGACGGGCAGCGACGCATTGTCCGAGCGGGGCTGCGCTCCGATGGCGAGCCCACCCTGTGAGGCCAACTCGAGCGAGACGCCTCCTCGCCTCACCCTGCTCGTCACCCCTCCAGCCCAGGGCCAGAGGCGGCCCTCCTCCCCCCCCTCCTCCTCCTCCTCCTCCTCCTCCTCCTCCTCCTCCTCTTCCTCCTCCTCCTCCTCCTCCTCCTTCTCCTCCTCCTCCTCCTCCTGTCCGAGAGGGATTGCAGCCCCAATGGCGAATCGGTGCCTGGAAGAATGGCCCGCTTGGCATTTCACGCGGATCCGCGAGCAAGCAAGCAGTGGCCCAGGCCGCGGCATGCGGTGCGAACGTGAAGAGGCCGACTCCTGGCCACATCGAACCCCCGAGGCGACCACACGTGATTAGATGCGAATGGCCGAGCGCACCGCAAGCTAAGTGGCCGAGGGAGGAGCGGTCGCGGGGCAGGCGGGAGGAGCAAGCAAGCCGCCACGGGGGGGTAGGCAACAGCCTCAGTGCGGGACCGAGTCGACCGTGAGGGATTGGCCCGAGGGCGCGAGGCGCATGCTCGAGACCCCAGGCTCGACCACAGCTCGCTTTTACGTTGGGTCCTCCTATTTTCCATGGGCCATCGATGAGATCGAGGAAAACTGGGCGTCTTAGCAAAAACATAATTGAAAGCCGCGTCTGTGCAACACACATTTGTCCACCATGGAAACAGTGACTCCATGAAGCTCAGCAGGCATGCCCGCCCAGTCTTCACAAGATCCTTGCATTGGAGCAGACAGAGAGGAGCGTGATTATCCTCGCACCGCTGATGCCGACCGAATGCCAGCGGAGGGCCAGTGGCCAGTGGCCACACAAGTGACCCCGTGCATGGAAGCAACCCGACTGGGGCCAGGGGCGGGGTCGGAAAATCGCACCGCATTGCCGATGCATCGGCGGCGTCGGGGTGGAGAGAGCCAAACTCCAGATCACGCCATGCCGCCAGTGCATCGGTGAGTTTTTGAAGCCGGACCCAATTTCAAAAGCACACGTTATTTTTTAAAGCCGGACACGCTTGTGTTTTAAGCCAGACCTGGCTTCAAAACCATGTTTTTGAAAGCCTCATCAGGCTTCAAAAACACACTGTGTCACCCTCAGACCCCATCAGCTCCAACCCAATGTGGGCGGACTGGAATCACCCGGCAGGTGTGCAAACGCCAGGGCACCACGGACACTCAGTCTTGGACGTGACCTCGGCGCGCTGAACTGGAAAGGTCGGGCGGTCTTTTATGCCGTTCTTCGCTCGCTGACTGTGGAAAGGACGGGGGCGGCAAGGGCAGGGGAAAGCGCAGCCCCCCCCCCCCGTCTCCTGCGCCTGGCCTCGTCCTCCTCCGCCTGCTGCCGGGCCTGCCGCTCGGCCAGGCTCTTCTGCCTCCGCTCCTCGTCCTTCTTCGTCCTCAGGGCCTCGGCGAGCCGACCCCAGCGCGCGAGGCTCTGCCGTGCCCGCGCGCGGACACTGCCCGCGGTGTCTGGATGCCTCCTAGATGGGGTCGGAGTAGATGGGGTCGGAGGATGGCGCCACATCGCCGATACATCGGCGATGCATCGGCGATGTATCGGCGATACCTCGGTGATGCACGGGCGATACGTCATCGACGTGGGCGGTGCATCGGCGACGCCGGCGTGGAGAAATCGGGCTCCGCATCGAGCCGCATCGTCGATGCATCGGCGATGCGGCGCGATCCTCCGACTCCATCTACTCCGACCCCATCTAGGAGGCCTAGAGTGTCTGGGGGAGGCGGGGTCAGGTGGCGGCAGTCGACGTCGGCGGTGCCGAGGGCCGAGCGAGGCCAGGCACGCGCTCATAGGGGGCTGGCGGCGGCGAGCCCGGTCCGGCGGGAACCAGAGGCGCCGGTCGGCCGGGCAGCGGCTGGTGAGGGCTCGCGGCGAGCACCAGCGTCTGCGGCAGGCAGGGCTGGTGAGGCCACCAGGGCGCTGGAAGCACACGCGGGCTCGGCCCACGTGCGGCACACGCGGGCGGGCCACGCACTACACACACACACGCACACACACACATACACACATACACACATACACACACATACACCCACCACACACCCCCCACCCATACCCCCCCCCCCGCACACACAACCACACACACAACCACACGCACACACACACAACCACACACACAACACACACGCACGCGCGGAGGTCCAGCGTGTCTGGCCACGCGAGGGTCGAGCACAGGAGACTCGCGCCCCTCCCTCGCGGACCTGGCGCCAGCCTGGCGCGCGCCCTCTTCCCCGCTCGCCCCCTCCGTCCCTGCGGCTTCTCGTCGTCTCGTCTGTCGTCCGACGCTCGTCTGACGTTTCGTGTCGTTCCCGCTTCTCGCCACGGGGCTCCTCTTGCGCTTGTTCCACAAAGTTTGTACAGCTCTCGCCCAGGCCTGCCACGTCATGCGTATCCAGCTCCCTGGTAAGCATTGGCCCTGATACGGGGTCCCAGTAGTGGTAACAACCAGCGTTGGTGGCAACCTGGGCCAGGCAGGAGAAAGGCCAGGGCTAGTGGTGGCGGAGTGCAGGGGGCTAGCGGGACCAATCACTGGCAGCTGGTGGCCACGCAGGTCGGCGCAGCAATCAGCGTTCGTGTGGGCCAGGGGTGGCGGGGCTCCTGGTGACAAGTGGCCCTTGCTATAAGTGGACCCGTGTCTTCAGAGCTTGCTCAGGCTGGGCTGCTCTGGATGGTGGGTCCACGCGTCGCAGGCTGGGCCAGGTCGACCGGCTCGCCGCCAGTCGGGCCCTGGATCGCACCCTGCAGAGACCCTGGAGAGCTGTTCATTCTTAAAGTGGGCACCAGGGGCCCAGGCGAAGAGTCACGACGAGAGCCGCGAAATGCCAAGCGCATTGAATATCGAGCGGCGCCGCGGATCGCAACAAAAGCTGGTCCGACCGAGCGGTGGCGACGAGAGCCTCCAGGAACACATGAACAACTGCGCACCGAAAACTTCGACGTCGACGTCCAAGGAAGGCCACGAGGGGACACGAACGGCCGGGCTGGGGCTACGAGAGGCCGTGGACCACTGGCCTGACGGGCAGTATCTCGCAGGGCTGCGAGGGGCCACGAAGCTCCTGGCCGTGGAACTTCTTGCGACACGAGGGGCCGTGGGTCCAAGGCAATCGAGTCACGTCTCCGGGGCCTCCCACGCTGCTGGCCGCCGCCGCAGTCGGACCCAGGCCAGCAGAACGTCCCTCAAGTCGGCGGTGGACAAACCTCCCTTTAGTAGGCCTCTCCTTAGTGAACACGGCTTGGGACCGAAACCGACGGACCTGGACTCGCAAAAAATGGACGGCCGCGACGCCCTCTCGCGAACCAAGAACGGCCAATTCCTTAATCGACGTGTCAGGGTAGGAGGTCTGTCCACCCCCGATCAAGAGCCATGAGACCCTCCGCCGGCCAACGCACGCAGAACCTCCAAGGGCACCCTCCCGGGATGCACAAAGAGCACCCGACGAGCACGAAGGACATCAGGGCACCCTCCCCGAACCGACCTCGACCTGGCACCCCGGCCCAGCTGCACGGAGAGTCGCGCGTGCCATCCTGAGAACCGGCGTGCTCCGCTTCTACGGGGCGTGAAGACGACCACAGGCCACTGCTTTTCTTCTGATGCCGCCTTCCGGCCCGCAGCAACAAGCCAGTGGCTGTGCTCATTTTCGTGGAGCCTGGCACCAGGGAAATGACCATAACCACTGCTTCTTCTTCGGCCGGCTGGAAGGCGCGCAAACAAGGAGCAGTGGCTGTGGTCACTCTCCGTCCCGCAGCTTCTGCCCGATGCTGCTGCCATCGGGCTCGAGCCGTCGAGCCCGGGGCCTGCTTCTTCTGGGCCTTCAGCTCCGCCTTCTCCCGGGCCGCGCGCTCCATCTCCGCCGCCTCCTCCGGAGACAGCTCGCGAGGCTCCTCGTGGACCTCCTGGGCGGCAGCCGTCTCGGCACCAGGGGCGGTCTGGGCATGCAGGCTGGACGCGAGAGCCAGGAGGGGCATGGAGGGTGGAAGGTGGGGGCAGAGGTGGGGCTAGAGATGCGTGGCAACAAGAACGGCCCGTGTCAGAACGAAACGCCAGCGTCGAGCTGGATGCGCTGCTCACCGACCCCACCTTGGGATGCCCCCCCCTCTACGACGCCCCGACAAGCGCTGGCGGCGGCCACTTGGGTCTTCGGCCAGAGGGAGGGAGCACGTAATTCCCTCAGCCTGTGGGGGTCCACTGCCCCTCTCCAGCCGGAGCCGAGTCCCATGGGGCGGGGGCGGCGACGCTCGGGTTGGGCCACTTGAGAAAAGAGCCGCTGGACGGAAACCTCGAGGACCAGGTGGCCGACGAGGGATCCCCTCCGAGGCAGCCGTGGGAAACCAGCAGCGGGGCCTCCCGACCTCCGAGGTCGCGATCAGAAGCATGACGCCAGGGATCCCGAAGCCTCGACCCCATCTGCCTGCGGGGCCACCTGCACCGAGACGATCTGCGGGGCCCCGAGGCCAACCTCCAGGATCCGAGAGACCTTCCGCAGCACAGAAGCTGTAGCGGTGTATTTCGCAGCGCCAAAGGCTGGGCCTTCAGCGACGACCGAACGGCACCAACCTGCCTACCAAAGAGCTGGGAACCCACACGGCCGAATGCGGGGAGGGAGGGAGGAGGAGGAGGAGGAGGAGGAGGAGGAGGAGGAGGAGGGGGAGGAGGAGGGAGGAGGAGGAGAAGGAGGAGGAGGAGAAGGAGGAGGAGGAGGAGGAGGAGGAGGGAGGAGGAGGAGGAGGGAGGAGGAGGAGGAGGAGGGAGGAGGAGGGCGAGGTCGGTCTTGTCTTAGGGCCACTCTTGCGGGCAGCCGACAGGAGGGCGGGCCAGGGGGGGCAGCGGGGACGGCCGAGCCCGACGGGCAGTTGCCGCGCGCGGAGTGCACGCGGAGAGGCTCGGCGTGCCCGGCCCCTGGAGAGGCACGCGCAGCCACGTGTGCCGCCAGCTCACGCCCAGGCCGGCGACGCCACGTGCATCCAGCCTCTTTTTGCGGAAGAAGAAAGCGATTCCCCATATTTTGAAACGAAGGGGCCCTGGGACACACACACACAAACACAAACACAAACACACACAAACACACACACACACATATCACAAATAACTACACACAAATAACTACACACAAATAACATGATGCCCCATACTTTCCCCACATTTTCTTGGTTCCTGTCTTCCCCCCCCCCCACTTCCCAGATTTCCCATATTTTCCTGGGAGTTGACGATTCATTGTGTCTGTGTGTTTCTTTCCCTCCTGAGAAAACGCCATGTACATAAACTTTTGCCGCGCAGCGCAAAGTTCTTGGATCCGCGTCGGAGCCCCCTCCCTGGCGCGCGGAGCGCGCCAGGGGCGGCGCCGGAGGCGCCGTCGGGGGGCCCAGCGCGGATCCAAGAAATCCGCGCGGAGCGCCAAAGTTTACGTTTACAGTCATCGGCCTGACCTAAGGAACGATAAATAAGGAACGAAGCCCCTTTATATCCCGAGGAATAACGCATAAGGAACGATAAATAACACATAACGTATAAGGAAGTGCAAATAGCGCATGCAAGCCTAAGGAACGACCGAGCCCCTTTTGAAAAGCAAGTGTTCCTTATTCAAGCCGCTCACTGTACGTTTATGCCACCGGTGGCCGAATGGCTCCCGCGGCTCCACGTGCGCGACAGCCTCTGCGGCGGCGGCCTGCGGCTCGACCTGCGGGGCCTCCCCGGCGGCGGCCGCGTGCGGCGCCTCGGGGGTCGCCGCCTCGCCCACCCCGCGCCCCGCCGGTGCCCTGCGCGCCTTGCCCTTCCGCCTGCTCTTCGGCTCCTCGCCGCTGCGCCCCTCCGCCTCGGCGGGCCCCCCGCCGGCGGGGAGCACGTCGGACTCCTCTGGAAGAAGAACATTTTCTTGAGCCATAGCTTATGTCTACGGCTATGGCTATGCCTATGGCTTAAGCCAATGACATGGTTATGGCTCTGTCTTATGTCTTATGTATTCTGTCTGTGGCTATGGCTTATGTCTATGTCTACGGCGCCAAAAGTTTATGTCTATGGCTTAAGCCATAGACATACACTTCTGGCGCTCCGCGCGGACTCCTGGCATCCGCGCGGGGCCCCCCCCGGCGGCGCCTCCGGCGCCGCCCCTGGCGCGCTCCGTCCGCCAGGGAGGGGGGCCCAGCGCGGATCCAAGAAATCCGCGCGGAGCGCCAAAAGTGTATGTTTCGGCGGTGGATAAACCTCCCTTTAGTAAACCTCCCCTTAGTGAAAACGGCCTGGGACCGAAACCGACGGACCTGGACCCGCAAAAATAAAAGGCCGCGACGCCCTCTCGCGAACCGAAAACGTCCAATTCACTAATCGACGTGTCAGGGTAGGAGGTCTGTCCACCTCCGAATGTCTATGGCGCTGTTTCTTCTTCTGTCCTCCTCGCCACGGAAGCCCACGGCCTTCGGGGACTTCGCCGGCCTCGGCGGCCTGGGCTCCTCCCCGGCCTCCGCGCCCCCCTGCTGGGCCTGGCGGGCCGCTTCCTGCTGCGCCACGGCGGTCGGCGGCCCGACTGGCTCTGCCTCCTGGGCGGCTCTCGGCTCCCTCCCGAACCGCCTCGGGCGGGCGCGTGCCATCCCTGCGCCATCCCCCTCGACGGCCCCGGGCCCCCCGGGAGGACACCATGTCAGCCTGCTTCTGCCCCGAGGGCCGGAGTCGGCTGCACGTAAGAGTGGCCCTGGGCAGGAGTGACCCTTGGTGCGCGGCGTTCTGGGGGGCGCGGGGAGGCCAAACACAAGTGCGCAGGACGCCACTATCGCGACGAGCGCGGCGAGCGGGGGACCCCAGCGAGCGCGCACCCAAGGTCACTCCGGCGAAGGGTCACTCTTACGTGTGGTCGACGGAGGTCCTGGCCCTCCGCGGCGGCGGCGGCCGGTGGCTCCACCGGCGCGGCCACGTCTGCGGCCGTCGGCTGCCGCAGGCCGCCGCCGGCGTGCGGCAGGGCGGCGGCGGCGGCCGGCGGCGTGCGCGGAGGCAGCGGCGGCGGGGCCGCCGACGGCGCCGGGCCCAGCCGCGCGGCCATGGCCGCCCACGAGCGCCCCTGGGGAGGCAGGCGTGCCGAGGCACGCGGCGTGCATGTATCTACGCCGCGGAAATAAATAGGGAAACGAACTCTATAACCGATGTTTTTCCCCCCCCGACCCTGCGCTGGAGTTCGCACAGTAACGCGGATCCTGATGTATAGTTACGGGATCCTGGTGTATACATCTTTCGATGCAACCCCGCGGAAGCGAGGAAAGAGTATACACCAGACCACCCCGACGTCGTCCCCGACCCTCACCAAAGTCCTGGGATTGAAAAGCCGCCCGCCACTGGTAATGTATATGCTCCAGTTCCCGAAGATACACACAAGCGCCCTCCGACGAATGTTGCATGTGGCTCCCTGTGTAGAAAGTCGCTGGCGCTCTGTGGTGATCTGTACACCGCCACCCTCTCCTGGGGCCCAGGCACAATCCAGTGGAGGGTGTCTGTGTTGTTCTATGTTCTCAGATCAATTGTTTTCGTTCGCGTTGTGTGCCACGCCACTCATTTCGGCACACCCCTAGCACGGTTCGTTGCCTCATAGGGATCACCACCGAAAGCGTGAATCACAATTGCGGTACTCACACCTGCATATGATTGGGTCCTTCGTCAGGCTAATTCTATGTGGCGGATTCGCCTGCACCACCACCGTGCCTGGCCAGGGCCGCCCAGGGCTCTGGCATGGCGTGGCGCCGGCGTGGCCGAGGAGAGGAGATCTGTGCCCCGCCCCGTGGCCATCGCTCGCACGTCCATGCCCTGTTTTTTTTTTTTTTTGGGGGGGGGTCGTGCGTGGTTTTCTCGCCACATGATCAAGGATGCTCCTCGATGGTCCTCGCCGATGGAAGAATCACACGTCCGAGCGACCCTGTGGCCCAGAGATGGTAGTGGTCAGACGCGGCCCCGCACTCCCAGGGCCTCTCAAGCAGGCGTGCTCTGGCCAGGACTCTGGCGCAGCTTGACCCAGCCGTGGCGGCGAGCTCAAGCGCCCCAGGGAAGCCCAAGACAGGCGCAGGCCAGAGACGGGCACGGCGGGTATCGCTCAGCACGTTTGTTTTGTGTGTTCGATGTTTTGATGGTGTACGTGTATATATACATACATACAACCATTTATGTACATATATAGATACAAGACTGCATTGGCGCTGCGCGCCATGAACCTTGGTCCTTTGGAATTCGCACGCTAGCGCAGTGCGAGCGTGCGTGCATGCGCGCGCACGCGCGTCGATGAATGCATCGTACATATGTACATATATGTATACGTATGTATGGGTATGCGCATGTATATGCAAACGGTCAGTGTAACTATACGTGCGCATACACATGCGTATATCAGGCGGTAGTGGTCTGACCAGTTGCTCATATCATCGCGCCACTAAAAGGCGCGAGGGTCCCTGGCAAACGCGGCCAGACTACCATGGGACAGTGCGTCGCCGAGGTCAGCGCTGCGAGGGCGTCCCGGGTGAAAATGGCCTGAGCGCCTCCGCTCAGGGGAGGGCATATCCGAAGTCAGCCGTGCGAGGAAGTTTCGACGAGGAGTGGTCTGAACACCGCTGCTCAGGGCATCCTTGAACTTAGACTTGCGAGAAGTCGCGCGCGAAAGTGGCCGACGTTGCAAGTGTTCGTGCGGCCGTGAGTCCCCAGGGAGCGTTTCCCCCGGATGTGTGCTGAAACCGAAGGTTCCCGTCGGCCTGATCTCCGACATGTCACAAAAACCCTGGTTCCCAACAGCGCGTCCGGATGAGATGGCGTCGTGGCCACGACGGTTTGTATTGAGTGTTGCGAGAAGCTCAGTCGAGGCGGGAGGAGGAACATGAAGAGGATGAGGAGGAGGAGGAGGAGGAGGAGGATGAAGAGGAGGAAGAGGAGGAAGAGGACAGATCATGTGGATATCTGGGGTACAGCCGAGGTGTCGCGGAAGAAATCCGCAGCAGAGACTTGGGGGAGTGAGGAGAGCTGCTTCTGCTAATTAGACCTCTGGCGGGGCGGAACGTGAAACATCACGGGGAATTAGGAGAAGGAGGAGGAGGAGGTAGAGGAGGAAGAGAATGAGGAAGAGGAGGAGGAGCTCTTGGGTCCTTCGGTGGTTTGAACGATAAATGGCCTCGCTGCGCCGTTTGATACGACAACGACGACGACGAAGAAGGCGACGACAAAGAGAAGGGATAATGAGAGGGGGAGACCGCTGTGTTGGGATCTCGTGGTGCGCCTCTCGGGGCCCTCTGGGAGGCAGTTTTGAAGCCTCTTGGGGGTGTTTTGGGGTTCTGGGGATCTGTTTGGGGCCTCTTGGGGGCCTCTTGGGGGCTCCTTGGGGCCTCTTGGGGGCCTCTTGGGGCCTCATGGGGCTCTCTCCGGGCCTCTTGGGGCCCTCTCGCGGCGGAAAATTAAGTTTTTGAATTTTTGGGCGCCCTCTTGGGTCTCTCTTGGGGCCGTCTTGGTGCTCTCTTGGGCCGTCTTGGGCGCCTCTTGGGCGGTCTCGGAGCCCTCCTGGACCGTGTCGGGGCCTTCTTGGGGGCCTCGTGGGCAGTATTGGGGCGATCTAGGGAGCCTCTTGGGCCATTGTGGAGCGTCGGGAAGCGGGGAAAGCGAGAAGGCCAAAAACATAGAAAAACACACAGGAAAATCAACAATTGTAGCCTCTCGGGGCTCTCTTGGGAGGCCTCTTGGGGGTCTCTGGGGGCGTCTTGGACGCGTCTTGGGCAGTCTTGGGCCCAGATTGGGCGTCTTGGGCCGATCTTTGGGTGTCTCGGGGCCCTCTTTGGCCGTCGTGGGGGCTTTTTTTTTTTCGCGTCGCACTCGCAGGACAGACACGGAGCACTCTGCAGGAGCGCCCCAAAGGCTCGGGGAGGCCGAAATTCGTTTGGGGGGGGGGGCACCGTGTGCCGCTTTTCCGGGGTCCCCGGCCCTGTATATATATATATATACATATATATATATATATATATATATATATATATATATATGGGAATATGTGTGTATCCCCATCTCTGTCTACATATCTATATTTATACATGTATGAACCTATCATCCATCCACCCATCAATCCATCCATCCATACATCCATCCAGACAGACAGGTAGACAGACAGACAGGCAGACATGCATTCATACGTACACGCGTACTACCACATACACATATGCATGCATGCATGCCTACATACGTACATACAGACATACGTATATACAAACTTACATACGCATCTACATCCACGCATGCATGCATACATACATGCATGGATGCATACATGCATGCGTGCATGCATCCATATATGCAGACATGCGTACATGCAATCATGCATACACGCACACATGCATACAAACATGCATGCATGCGTATATGAACACATATTTACAGCTATGTGTATGGACACTCCCACAGCACCCATTCTTACCAGCACTCATTTACGACGATGATGCTATTCCTTTCCGTTCCTTTCCTCCTCCTCCTCGTCTTGTGTTTTCTCTCTCTCTCTCTCTTTCTCGATGTTTCTCGCTCTCTCTCTCTCTCTCTCTCTCTCTCTCTATCTCTCCATATTTCTCTCTCTCTCTCTCCCTGTCTGGAATCCATGCGTTGTCATATATACGTAGAGAGGTTCTCCAGCCATCCTGTGTTGGGTCCTCGCTTTGAAGAGACAGCGCCCCGTGTTACACCTCTTCCTCTCCTCCTGCTGCCTCCTCCCGCTCCTCCCTCCTCTCGTCACCCCCCCTCATTTTGGCACACCCCTCACACGTTTCGTGGCCCAATTCGCATGCGTCTCCCCCACCCAGTACAGCGTTGCGTGGCCACACAGGGAGCTCCACCGAAGGTCCAAGTGGCGCAGTTCGTATGCGTCTCCCCAACCAATACACTGAGTTCGCATGCGTCCCCCCGCCCAGTACAGCGTTTCGTGGCCCCCAGGGGGAGCTCCACCGAAGGTCTGAATGGCGCAGTTCATATGCGTCTCCCCCACCCACTACTGCGTTTCGTGGCCCCAAAGGGAGCTCCACCGAAGGTCCCAGTGCCGCAGTTCGCATGCGCCCCCCACCCACCCAGTACAGCGTGTCGTGGCCCTGCAGGGAGCTCCACCGAGGGTCCGAGTGGCGCAGTTCGCATGCGTCTCTCCCACCCAGTACAGCGTTTCGTGGCCCCAGAGGGAGCTCCACCGAAGGTCCCAGTGTGCCTCCCAAAGCAGCCCGTGCGCACGGGAAGCGACGGCACGAACATCTACAGGGCTGGATCCACTCGTGCGCTGTCCATGACGAGTACCGATCATATACTCATAACGCGCGCGTGCAGACTGAGGTGGGAACCGCTCATCGCGCCCGCAGTCAGCCCGAATCAACGAGGATTCATACCAGGGGGATGTATGCTACGTAACGTGGTGGAGATCGACTAGGTTTCCTTAGCCTCCTGGTGCATTCCTGGTGTGTTTTCACCACGGGCCGATTTCTGACCGCCACGTGGACCAGAAACGAGAACAGCGCAAAACCTCACCCCTCGAACTTTTCCCTGCGAGCCTCGCCCCAGGCGCCGCGGCCTTGAACGCTGTTCGGCGGATCCCGGTCCCGAACAAAAAGGTTTCTGGATCGATTGCCGAATGTCTCTGGGCCCATGCAAAAGCGAGCCCCAGACGCGGACGACGGCGACAAACCGTAACCCACGGGGGTCTATTTTCCACTGTGAGCCTCCCGACCGAAACTGTACCCTCCTGGTGTCCACCTCTCCCACTTCTACATCCTGCTCGGTGCCTGACGGCCCTGGGGCCCGCCCGAAACGGGAGCTCGCAGTCCGAGAACAGCAGCAACAATTATATTTTTTGTCGCAGCGATGTCGGGGTTTGGGTATGAGGAGGAGAGGGGAGGAGAAGAGGAAGAAGGAGGAGTAGGAGGCGTCCAAGTAATAACAAAAAACCCATCTTAGGATATGGGGAATAACAAGAACCCCATCTTAGGATATGGGGAACAACAGTCATCATTTTCGTCGCAGCGATGTGGGTCACACCGCGTGCGGGCTGGAGCGGGCTGCTGACTGCAAATTGTCCACGCGGATCGCACTTAAAAGAGCGGCCGCGGACGAGGCAGGAGGAGACACGGTCAGGGCACGATGAGCATCACAGCAATGAGAGTAGAAAGTGAGAGTAGGAGGATGGGAAGGGGGAGGAGAAGGAGGAGGAGGAGGAGGAGGAGGGGAATGGGGGAGGAGGAGGGGAAGGGGCAGGAGGAGGAGGAGGAGGAGGAGGAGGAGGAGGAGGAGGAGGAGGCGGAGGCGGAGGAGGAGGAGGAGGAGGAGGAGGAGGAGGAGGAGGAGGAGGCGGAGGAGAAGGAGGAGGAGGAGGAGGCGACACGGTCAGGGCACGATCCTCGACCTTCATCCTCTCGGGCCTAGCCTGGGCCGCCGCTGCCTCGCGCCCCGAGGCCCCGCGCCCCGACGGCGAGGGCGGGCGGGCGCGACCGGCGGAGCCGTCGGCCTGGGCGCCGGCCGCGTCCTGGGCGCGCCGCCGCCGCCGCCGAGCCGGCAGAGGCGTCGCCAACGCCGCCGTCGTCGCCGCCGCTGTCGGCGCTGTCAACTTCACGATGACATTTAAAAAATCAATGTTCAATTTTTCAAGAAATGCCTCCAGAAGCTCTCTCTTTCGACTCCGAGCTCTTTTATGCGTGGAAGGAGCTCTACGAGGTTCCCGGCGGTGACCAGGTTGACGGTTCACCGCCGGCCGGCCAACGGATGAAAAAACGACCCTACAGTCGGGGCCCTGAAGAAGGAACCCTTTTCATTGGGGAGGCGCTCCGCGTTCCTCAGGTGTTTCGCAGCTTGCCTCGGGTTTTCCTCACGTTTTCGATGGGGAATCGAAGTTCAACTTATGGAAAAAAGGGGCCTCGTTCCTTCTTTTGGGCTCCTTAGGTCAAGGCCCCGACTGTGCCCTGGGTTACAAGTGCGTGGCCTGTACACCTGCTGGGAACCCCCCAAAAAAACCTAGAGCCGCCAGGGCGCGGCACATCACGCAGGGTTTCCCCTGTCAGCCCACGGGAGCTTCAGCGCACAGCGCCGCGCAAACCAGGGTGGGGGCCTTCTTTTATGCCCGTGGCAACATCCTCAAACGGGACGGCTGAATTGTGCCCCTTGAGGCCGTCCTGGGGATCCTCTGGTAGCCCTCTTGGGACTTCTTGGAGCCTCCTCCTCCTCCTCCTCCTCCTCCTCCTGCTGGGTCGGGGCGCTTTTTTATGCCCTTGATCCACGGCGACCAGCGGCGCCGCCCAGGGCTCCACGCCGGGCGCCGCGGCGGCCCCGCGCGGGCCAGCGAGGGTTCCGTCGCCAGGCGCGGCCTCCGGCGGCCGCGCGGTGGCCAGCGGCCTGGGCGGCGGCGGCGGCGGGGGCCTCGGCTGGACTCAGGGCCGTTCGAAGCGTGAGGCAGGCGAAGGGTTTGTGAAGGGGCTCCGGGGCACACCAATAAATGCACACAAACAAAACGATGCCCCATGTTTTCCCATATGTTCGAGGTTTGTGTCTTCCCCCCCCCCGAACTTCCCATGTTTTCCCACATTCTCTGGGAAGTCGACGATTCATTGTGTCTGTGTGTGTTTTTCCCCTCCTGAGTTTGGGACAATTTTCTGCCTGCTGAAGCTTTTACGTGGCCTGGGGACAGTCCAAGACGCGGCTCGGAATATGACAAGCTGGTCTCGGAGCAGCTGTCGAGACTGCTGGGGTCCCTCCAAGAAACGTGAGAGAAACGGAAGTCGATGAGCGGGGGGGATTCCTCTTGCCGTTCTTACTGCGGCAACTCGGACAAGAACGCATGGCGTTGCTACGCTCGACCTCTGGCGTGCTACTCGCGGCGCCTGCTGGCACTTGGGGCGCCCAAGTGCCACGCATGCTTGATCGGGGTAATCACTTGTGCGTGAGCCTTAGTGTGAGTGATTATGAGCGTGAGCGATCTGCGTGTGATGGAGTCAGGGTGAGTGACTCTGGGTACGATTGAACCTGACGGCGAGTGACTCTGAGTTGAACGAATTGGAGTACGAGCTGGTCTGAGTATGGATCTGAGTAAGAGTGAGTCTGAATGCGAGTGGTTCAATCCAGTGTGTGTTTGTCTGTGTGTGTGAGTGAATCTGGAAATGGGTATGATGAAGATGAGTTTGCGTAAAGGTGAGCCTGAATACGATTGGGGTTGAACATGAGTGGATATGAAAGTGGGTGGGCTTTGGTTCGAATAAGCCTGAGCGAGAGGTAGTGTAGGCGTGGAACAAAATGAGAGCGCGGCACTGGATCACCCAATGGGGGGCGGGGGTGTCCGAGACACCCCTCACTTTCCCCGATCCGTCGTCGGCGGGCCCCCCCCGACCCCCCCTGCCTCCTCCTCCATCGTCGGCGGACCCGCCCCCCCCTTTCCCGATCCGTCGCTGGCGGACCACCCCCCCTCTCTTTGAGCGTGAAATTTAGACCCCCCCCCGTTTTCGCCACGCCGCCCCTTGGCTCCGGAACCCGATCCATGCCACACCGAAACTTCAAGTTAATCCCTGCCCTCGCCCCTAACCCCTAACCCACCCCCCCAATCCTAAGCCCACCCCCTACCCTACGCCTAACCTTCACGTCGACCCAAGCCCTCACCCGAACCCTTAATTCAAACCCTAATCCCCACCCCAAGCCCTAACACTAAACCTTAACCCCTACCCTAACCCCTGATCCTAGCCTTAAGCCGTACCCTAATCCTTACTTATTATGATTAAGCGCCTCCGAGCTCCCACCTAGCCGGCCAATAGCAGCCCCTTTCGTCCTAACTATAACAAGACAAAACGAACTCTTTTTCTGCCTCGCCAACATGTCGTCGAGTTGCGAAAAGTGCAGCAGGAATATGACGAAATGAACATCGCTTGGGTCGCCCTAAGCGGGTGGTCGCGTCGTACCGACCGAAAAAATATAAAGTAAAGTATGTTTTCTCGACAACATGGACTTTCTTGTCGTCGACGCTGCGAAACATGTTGCAGGAATGGGACGGAATGGACATCGTTTGGGTAACCCTAAGCGGGTGGTCGCGTCCTACCTATCAGAAAAAACAATACAAATCAACGTTTTTCTCGTCAACATGGACTTTCTTGTCGTCGACGCTGCGAAATGTGTAAGAAGAATGGGACGCGGCGCACATCGCGCGCGGACGCCTGGGCAACCCTACGCGGGACCCCCCGTCCTACCTGCCAAAAAACGCAGCAATGTCTACGTTTTTCTTGCCAGCGTGTACTTTCTCCTCGTCGGCGCTGCGAATCGCGTAGCGGGAATGGGACGCCCCGCGAATTCCCAAGAGGCATTCTCCTCTTCCTCCTCAGTTTCTCCCTCCCTCCCTCTCTCCCTCTCCTCCTCCTCCTCCTCCTCCTCCTGTTCCTCCCCCTGCCCCTCCTCCAGGCGCGGCAGGAGCGAAACGATTGGCGGTGCAACGCGCGTGGCTGGAATGAGACGCGGCGCACTTCGCGCGGTGGGCATGTTGCCGCCGACGATGCAGCATGAGGGGCCGGAGCGGGGCGCGGCGTACATCGCGCGCGGTTTTGTTTCTCGTCGACGTTGCTCAATACGCGGCAGGAATAGGATGCAGCTCATGCCGCGCGCTGAACGTCTAGCCACCCACGATACAAGATGAGCGACGAACGTCGGACGCGACGCACTTGCTTCTTATGCTGCGGGAGAGCGGGTGGGGGTGGACGGAGCCCTCTGGCTCGTTCGAGCTGGCTAACACGATCCTAACCCTCACCCCTACCCCTAATCCTCACTTCTTATGGTTAAACACCCCCAAACTCCCACCTAGCCGGCCGATAGCAAACCCGCCGTCCTAACTTCTTCTTTTATATAAAAACAAACCAAAGTTTGATCTCGCCAACATGTCGTCGAGTTGCGAAAAGTGTTGCAGGAATGGGACGGAATGAACATCGCTTGGGTAGTTAACCCTAGGCGGGTGGTCGCGTCCTACCTATCACAAAGCGATACAACGTCAACGTTTTTCTCATCAGCATGGACTTTCTTGTCGTCGACGCTGCGAAATGTGTAGCAGGAGCGGGACGCGGCGCACATCGCGCGCGGACGCCTGGGCAACCCTACGCGGGACCCCCCGTCCTACCTGCCAACAAAAAACACCGCAACGTCGACGTTTTTCTTGCCAGCATGTGTTTTCTCTTCGTCGGCGCTGCGAATCGCGTAGCGGGAATGGGACGCGGCGGACATCGCGCGGGGACGCCTGCTCGTCAACATGGACTTTCTTGTTGTCGACGCTGCGGCCCGTCGGGTTGAGGAGCTGGGCGGGCGCCGCGCCCGTTGTCGTGTCCACGTAAGAGAGACCTTTGGCAACAGTGACCTCTGCTGCTCAAAAATCAAACCGAAACCGACCCCTAGGAGCCCTCCGGCCGTGGCAAAGAGGGGCCCCCCGACACACTTCGCGCGCTGGACATGCTGTCGCCGACGATGCAGCATGAGAGGCCGTAGAGGGGCGCGGCGTACATCGCGCGCGGTTTTGTTTCTCGTCGGCGTTGCTCAACACGCGGCAGGAATAGGGCGCAGTTCATGTCGCGCGCTAAACCTTTAGCCGCCCACGATATAAGATGAGCGACAGACGTCGGACGCGACGCACTTGCTTCTTATGTTGTGGGAGGGCGGGTGGGAGTGGACGGAACCCTCTGGCTCGTTCGAGCTGGCTAACTTGACCCGAACCCCATACCCTTACCCCTAACCCTGGCCCCTAACCCTACCCCTTAATCCCTGACCCTAGCCGTAAGACCTAACCCTAATCCCGGACCCTACTCTAACCCGTAACCCTGGCCCTGAATCGCTGTTCCCTATTAGTAACACCCCTTCCCCCAGGCGACTGGGGGCCAATCAGGGTCCATGCCGCCCCCCCCCCATCCCTTGTAAAAAAAGCAATGCAAATCACACTCTGCCTTCAAATTCTGAACATGCGCAGCCAACCCGATGCGGCCCACCCCCAACATCCCTGTCAAAAAACAATACAGAGTACACTTGGCGGCGGCGGCTGCGGCGGCGGTGGCGGCGGCTGCGGCGGCGGCGGCGGCGGCGGCGCGGCGGGGGGCGGGGGCTGCGGCGGCGGCGGCGCGCGGGGGCGCAGCGGCAGCGGCTGCGGCGGCGGGTTTGGCAGCGGGGGGGGGGCGGGCTGCGGCGGCGGTGGCGGCGGCTGCGGCGGCGCGGCGGCGGCGACGGCGGGGGCGGGGGCGGGGGCGGCGGCGGCGGCGGCGGCGGCGGTGGCGCAGCCGGCAGCGGCGGCGGCGGCGGCGGCGGTTGGCAGCGGGGGGCGGCGGCGGCGGGCGGCGGCGGTGGCGCGCGGCGGCGGGCTGAGGCGCGGCGGGCGACGGCGCTGCGGCGGGCGCGGCGGCGGCGGTTGCGGCAAGGTACACTTGGCGGCGGCGGCGGCGACGGCGGCTGCGGCGGCGGCGGCGGCGGTGCGGCGGCGGCGGCGGCGGCGGCGGCGGCTGCGGCGGCGGGGCGGCGGCGGCAGCGGCTGCGGCTGCGGCGGCGGTTGGCAGCGGGGGGCGGCGGCAGCAGCGGCGGCGGCGGCGGCGGCGGCGGCGCAGGCGGCGGCGGACGGCGGGGACGGCGCGCGGCGCGGCGGCGGCGGCGGCGGCGGGCGGCGGGCGGCGGCGGCGGCGGGCAGCGGCGGCGGCGGCGTGGACGGCGGCGGCGGCGGCGGCGGATTGGCCCCCAGTAGCTGCCCATCCCAAGATGACTGCTGAATATGCTGAGGCTCGGGCCAGACTCGGGTGCTACGTATGTGCGGGGAGGGCGGGTGGGAGTGAGCGAGACGGCTTGCGGGCGGGGAGGGGGTAACTTGTCCCTAACCCTTACCCTAGGCCCTAATCCAACCCCCTAAACCCTAACCCTAACCCCCAACCCTGTGCGAACCCCTACCCTGACCCCTCACCTCAACTCTAACTCCATACAATAAACCGTAACCCTAACCTAACCCGTAACCCCTACCCCCACCCCTAACCCTGACCCTAACCCTTGACCCCAACCCTATGCCCCAACCCTAACCCTAAACTTTACAATAACTCCCAAACCGTAGCCATAATTCTTAATCTTAACCTTAAGCCCTAACCCTAACCCCTCAACCCTACCCTAACCCCTACCCTAACCCTAATCCTACCCTAACCCCCACCCTAACCCCTACCCAAAACCCTAACCCGGACCTAACCCCGAATCCTAACCCGAACCCCATACCCTAACCCTAACCGAGCCTCAACCCTAAACCCTCACCCCTAACCCCTAACCCTATCCCCAACCCTAACCCCTAACCTTAAACCTAAATTTCTAACCCTATAATTATTAAACCCTGACTACTACAAAACCGCTCGTTATACAAA